TTTTTGGAAACACTTTCTTGGGTGTATAGCTTGGTTAGTTCTAGAATTCTGTTACATTCTTCCTCTATAGCCTGTCTCCCCCTTGCTGTGAACCTTCACTTGTCCCTGAAACAGAGCCATGAACACTGTTCTGATGTCTATCCCTTCTCATTTCTCACCTTTACTTGTGCAGTCTCCTCTCTCAGCTTCCCTCTGACCACCTTGTGTTCCCGAGGAGTGTCCCTAAGCAACACCTACTACTCTGTCTTCCTCTCCTGGTTACCAGAGTTCTGTGAATACAGACTTCTCACTTGGTCTCTTAGATTTTTAAAAGTGATTTCTGCTTCAACCCAACACTTTTACCATTTCTCCTGCTCATCATTACTTGCTTCTGCAAATGATCTGTTTTATTCCTTAAACTTTGGGTTGGCTGGGCTCGGTGGCTCAGCCTGTAATCCCAGCACTTTGGGAGGCTGAGGTGAGTGGATTGCCTGAGCCCGCGGGTTTGAGACCTGCCTGGGCAACTTGGTGAGACCTCATCTCTACAATAAATCAAAAAATCAGCCAGGCGTGGTAGCGCTTGCCTGTGGTTCCAGCTACTTGGAAGGCTGAGGCGGAAGGATCGCCGGAGCCCAGCAGATGGAGGCTGTGGTGGCTGGAAGCGGCCACTTCACTCCAGTCTGGGCGACAGAGTGAGACTCCAACTCAAAAAAAACCCAAACAAACAAACAAAAAAGCTTTGGGGTTCATTCTCATCTCTGAGAGAGAGACTTTTTCTTATTTTCTTTCCAGATAACCCATTTGGCTTATGAAGAGTGGACACGACTTTCTCTTTTTAAAAATGTATGTATGTATGTGTGTATGTCTCATTCTGTCACCCAGGCTGGAGTGCAGTGGCATGATCAGAACAATCACAGCTCATTTCAGCCTCAACCTCCTGGGCTCAGGTGATCCTTCTGCCTTAGCGTCCTGAGTAGCTGGGACTACAGGTGTGCGCCATCATGTCTGGCTAATTTTTAAATTTTTTTGTAGAGATGAAGTTTCACTATGTTGCCTAGGCTGGTCTTGAACTCCTGGGCTCAAGCAATCCTTCTGCCTTGGCCTCCCAAAGTACTGGAATTATAGGTGTGAGCCACCGTGCCTAGCTAAAATGTATTTTATATGGAGACAGATGTTCATATTTTGGGGGGTACATGTGATAATTTGATACATTCAAATACATATTATATTCATATATGATACATATTATATTCATGTCAAATCAGGGTAATTGAGATATCCATCACCTTACATATTTTTGTTAGGAGCTTTCAAATTATTTATTTTCTAGCTATTTTGAAATGTACAATTGATTAATGTTAACTGTAGTCATCCTACTGATGTATCAAGTACCAGGCCTTACTTCATCTATCAAAGTATTTGTACGCAGTAATCAGCCTCTCTTCATCTCTCCCTCCACTCTGTGCATCCTGGTCTCTGGGACTTCCTTTCTCTTGGTCGCCCTTATTTTTGGACAGATCACTCTCTCTGACCTGATAGGGCTTTGTGCACTCCCTGTCTCCTCTCCTTGGGAGAACATGTTCCACACTCATCTTGCTGGAGTCTGTGAACTACTTAAAACATGCCTAAGAGTAAGAGTAGCAATGAGTATTTTTTTGAGTCAGGATGTTACATGGTTGCTGAGGCCAGAGTGTAGTGGCATGATCACAACAATCATGACTCACAGCAGCCTCCATTTCCTGGACTCAGGCAATCCTTCCACCTCAGTATCCTGAGTAGCTGGAACTATAGGCATGCACCACCATGCTCTCACTTATTTTTTTTATTTATTGTAGAGACAAAATCTTGCTGTGTTGCCCAGACTGGTCTCGAACTTTTGGGCTCAAGTTGTCCTCCCACCTTGGCTTTCCAATACTTCTGTTTTCTTTTTTTTTTAAACTAGGAAAATGAGACTTAGCAAGGAAGAAACCGAGGTCTAGGAAGGGAAACTCACTCTCCAACCTCATGCAACTAGTAAGGAAAGAACTGGGGAAAAAATGCATGCTGAGGAATTCTCATTCATTGCTTGGAGGAGAGGAGGGAAGCGTGCTACTCAGAGTTCCTAAAGTAGGTCATCATGTGAAAAGTGTAATAAAGTAGTAAAGGCATAAACCGTGTGAAAAAGTTCAAAGGTAAGCTCATCAAATTCTGAAATCCAAGGAATGCCTAGGATCAGAAAAAAAGGAAGTGATTTAATCATTTATAGGACTCCCTGTTACAGCATTGTGAAATGCTAAACCTGAGAGAAACCTGAAGAGAGAAGGGGCCTGCATGGACTGGGCTCTTACTGTGTGTTGGGAGCTGTTTTAAACACCTTACATGCGTTATTTTATTTAATCGTCACAACAGATGAGTGACTTTCCGAGGCTTGTATGGTTGTTCCATCAGAGGCTCAGAGAGCTCAAGGCACTTGCTTGAGGTCACAGAATGACTTAGTAACTGATTTGGGATGCGAACCCAGGTCTCCCAAGTCCCCCTTTCAGTTGTTGGTCTCCATGTCACAGTTTGCCCAATTTTATGAAGGACAGACCTGAACATGGTCCCTGGGGGAGGGATACACTCCTCTTTGGAAGAGGTTGGCATTGGGGAGGACAGCCCTCCCTCCAAGGCCTCCTGCTGGGTGCAGTACCCTGACTGGATGGGTGTGATGCTGTGTAGCTGTCTTATAAAAAAAAAAAAAAAAAAAAACTTGGCCGGGCTCAGTGGCTCAGCCTGTAATCCCAGCGCTTTGGGAGGCTGAGGTGAGTGGATTGCCTGAGCCCGCGGGTCTCGAACCCACCTGGGCAACTTGACGAGACCTCATCTCTACAATAAATCAAAAAATCAGCCGGGC